TCAATTCATAAATAAAAATCATTTTTTAATCGCAAATCAATAGTAAATCTCTGGAGAGGTTTCCGATGAGAAATATCGGCAAAATTTTGACGTAAAATAAATTTTTATATTATATTTTCTATACTACCGAAATTTTAAACATGGTATTTATATATTAACATGGCAATCTAAAAGACTATAATTAAATGTTTACTAGTAACTAATAAAAAGTGTAAAAATATGTTAAATGCATTTCTGATACTTTACTAAAACTATACAATTAGTGATAATTTTTATGTAAAACATTTAATTATCTTAACTAATCATTAGTATGTAATGTCTGCTAAACTATTTCAATGTAAACTATTTGTGTACTTTAAGTGCCCTGAATATAATGCGGCACTTAATGTGAAAATAAAAAACAACAAAAATTAAATTAACAATAAAAGGGCCGTAAATTAAATTATAATTTCACAAAAACAAAAACACTTGTAATTAATGGGAAATAAGTATATTTTGTATACATTAGTGTAAAAAGTCATTAGAAATTTTACATTAAACTATAGTATATTTAAATACAATTAGCTAGTAATATAATTTAACTTTAAAAATCACCTTTCTCATTCGATGTAATGTACCATTAGGTATATACCCGTTGTTAACGAGTATAGACTTAGGCTTTTGCTGTAACACAGTCTCGATGATCGAGGTATTGGACAGGGATGTCAAGTCATCCCTAATATCGTTGATAATAAATAAATCCATTTTTGAATCACTAAATGATTGCCGATCTATGGATACAACACATACACCATAAGCCATAACAGAATCACAGGAATATTCTGTAACCCAATACTAACCGCACGGAATTACATCCGGATTCTTGTGGCCGGGGATCTCATCCGCACTGGTATTTTGAATACCGTATTCATCGGCCAACTGACCCGTTATTGTGCTAAAAGTTTGTGTAAAATATATTTTATTTTTAAATTCTGTGTCAATATTCTGTTCGTAATTCTTGTGGACATACTTTTGCCGCAACTGTTGCTCCCGTTTATCCTTTTCCTCGTCTTGTTGTTTGATTTTGCAGATTATAATCACAATCAATACGATCAGGAATAGGGACAGTAGGGCCCCGACTATTACGGCTAGTATGGGGTCGTAGTCCAGTTCCTGATTGCCGGACACTAAATACAAATGTTTATTGTTGATGATTAAAACTCTCAAAATGTATTAAAAGCTGTAATATTGAAAATGTTTTATAAACGAGTTATCAATTGTGTAAAATAATAACTTTTAAGCCAGTTTAATGACACGTGTTCTTTAATTTACTTGACTTCACAATGCTATTTGTAAATAATACTAAATTAATACACTCTATTAAAAAAGATTGAAAAATATTTTTATTAAAGTATTAGCATTGTATTTTCAAAATGTGTTAATTAATAAAATCAACACAAAAATAATAATAAATAAAAATGGTTTGACCTATTATCCCACATTAGTCAATATTAAAATCATTCATATTGTGCTTGATACCAATATTACAGTTTGTAATTAAAATTTAAAAAATTATTTTTAATAAATTACTTCAATTACTATAAAAGCTTTTATTAAAATAATTGTCTTTAATATTAAACCCAGTAAACACCTTGATAACAATTAACATACACTCACCTAACTTCGTATTAACAGTGGACAGTGTGGACACCGGTATAGCCGTCCCCTCACTCACACCCATCGCATTCATGGCGTACAAGCGGACGGCATATTCAGTGCCTGACGACAGGCCCTCTATGAAGAACATGGGGGTCGACACCAGCGACAGGTTCCGGACATCCGCCCCATAATTACTATCGAAATACTGGCCGAAAAACGTCTGCGAAAGGCCCGCACTCTCGCCGGCCGTACACTCGATGGACAGGGATGTCATCGTCTTATTCACAACCTGACAGTCCCGGAGGGGCTGAGGGGGTGCTGCGGTAGTTATCCGGAACAGACAGGGCTGGGCCTGTAAGCCCACCTCGTTTTTGGCCCAACACGACACGAGTCCAAAGTCCTGTGAGCTACCGGCGCGGAACCGGAGCTCAGAGGTCAGCCCCTTAGCGGTGTAGTTGTCAGGGGAGAGCTCGTAGTTGTTGAACGTCCAGTAGAATGAGACATCCAGGGGCTGGGCCTCCACCGTACAGCTCAGCACTTGGGTCTCGTTAACAGCCATAGCTATCGTGGACTTGAGGTCCCGGTTCCGGCAGATAGGCGTGTCTACCGGTGCCGTTAAAACGCAGAATAATATATTAATTTAAAATTCTTCATATATTTTATGCAAAAGCTACCGGAGCTTAGCATTCAACACCCGGTACAGTAGTTATAAATAACAGAATATTCTATATATACACACAGAATATTCTGTAATTTATAGCCAACCGGGTGTTGAGCGCTAAGCGCCGGTAGCTTTTTCGCTCGATAAGTGTTTATTGATTGCAGAATATTCTCGATTTATGAGATAGGGATTTACGTGCGGGCTATACGCTAAACCCCATGCAATCAATTATGACATCCCGTTCGCCTCTAACCAGTACTTACACCTTAAGTCGAGCATCACTTCGTTGCTAACACCCCGTCCCTCGAGGTTACGGGCGCTGCAGCTATACTTCCCGCGGTGTTGGGGCTGTAGTTCCCGTATAGTGAGCGTGGAGTTGACGATTAAAAAGCCTAAAAAGTGTCCCAAAAATTACTATTAATATCGGAAATATTATACAATTAATGTAAGGGACAGACCGTTTGGCTCGGGGTCTGAGATGGCGGTGCCGTTCAGCATAAACTGTATATCACTGGCGCCGGGATTAGCTCTGATGGCGCACTCCATCACCGCCTCTGATCCCTCCCTAAGTACTACTAATTTGCTATTTTTGCCGATAGTTAGCGTCACCTTTGGATCATCTGTCGAGGGATTAGGTGGTGGTAGTGGAAAGGGATCACATAAAATACAATTATTAATATGTGTTTGATTTCTAATAGGAGTTCCTTTTACTATACATTGATTTATAATGTATTTAACGCTTAAACCACTTTTGATATATAATTAAATAAAATATAAGATTTATTATAACACTATTGTATTGAAATTATTTTTAATTAAGAATTAAGAATTTATTAATAAGTTATTGAAACAAAAACTTTAATAACTAAAAATTGTTTTATAATTAATACTTAGGTTATATGAAATAATAAAATACAAAACACTTAATTATTAAGGTATTAATTTCAATTCATTACCAAAAATATGCGGATTCTTATCAAATCCAATAAGAAAAATTATAATAAAATTATAAACTAGTCACAAACTAGATTGTTTTAATATTACAGTCTATTAATAACAGTTTTTAATATGTTATTAAAATATGTTTGTCCATGTGTATACCTAACCTAACTCCAGAATGTATGCATTGGTTAACCGCGA